AGTAGATAAACTCTGTAAGCAGCACAAGTACATGATTTATTTGATGAATCAGAGGTCAAAGTATACCCAAGCCTGTAAGAAGTCTTATCTAGAGATTAAATGCAAAGATGACAATAACTGTGATTGCAAAACAAAGAAGAAGACTCATTTCAAAAAATTCAACTAAAAAAAGATGTGTCATAAGTCCCAAAAATAATATAGGTTCTTCAAGAAAAATAAGTTTTGTAGGAAGAACAAAGGGCAAAAGTGTCTCATCTGTAAGAAGAAGGGTCATTATGCAAAGAATTTCCCTAACAAGTCAGATAAATCAGTAAAGATGATAATTACTTTAAATATTGATAAAGGTGATGCAGAATCTTTATATTCTGAACAGAGCACTGGAAATGAGGACACAGTCTTCGCACTACAAGACTCCTCTCCTGATTCAAAAATTTCTGATAGTGATGTTCCAGTCTTTGCAATAAATGGAGTTTTTTTATCTCAGTCCAGCTATACCAAAGCCCAGTGTAGAAGTTCACATCTTGTCATCCAAATCCAGTAATCCCAAAAAGGTAATTACTTACATGGATACTGGTGCCCAAAGATCAATGATGGATCCTAAGATCTTACCTCCTGAAGCATGGAATAAAGAGACAACTTATTTTGTAGCAACTGATGGAAAGGTCTTCAGAACCTACCTGGTCATTAAGCAGCCTATAGGGATAAGGTTTTCCCCTAAATGTTATTGGGACTACTCTGCCCAAAAAAAATATTCTAATAGGAATGGATATCTATACCAAAGCTCATAGACTTCAGATCCTTCCTCAAGGAAAAAGATTCAAAAGAGACTTCAAATCTTATTCACAGACCTTTAAGGTTATATGTTCTTTCTGAAGCTCCTCCTGAACTTGAAGACATTAAAGAAAAATTTAAGCCTTTATGTGCAGATAATCATGGAGGATTCTCTCATCCTAATCCTCTATGGAAAAATGAAGATTTTTTCATTTAGCTTCCTTTCAAGCTCAATGAAGATATCAATCCTACCAAAGCAACTCATTCAGGAATGTCTCCCTTAGACCTTCAATTAGTAAGACAAGAATGTCAAGAACTCCTGAAGCAAGGATTGATAGAACCTACAAAATCTCAGTGGGCATGTCAAGCTTTTTATGTGGAAAAGAGATTAGAAAAAATTTGAGGCAAGAAAAGATTGGTGATTGATTATAAGCCTTTAAATCATTTCCTACAAGATTATAAGTTTCCTATCCATAGGTTGATACTCCTTCTATTCTCTTTAAAGATGCTCACATCTTCTCTGAGATTGATTTAAAATCAGGTTTTTGACAACTTGGATTAGACCCTGCTGACAGGTACAAGTCTGTTTTCTGCATTCCAAATGCGCAGTACCAATGGAGAGTCCTTCCATTTGGTCTCAAAGTAGCTCGCTCATTCACTTTTTTAGAAAGCAATGACAAGAATCTCTAATCCAATCTTGGATACAATTCTTATTTATATTGATGATGTTCTTCTTTTTTCCAAAGCTATGGAAGCACATAGAAAGTTGCTCAGCCAATTTGCAGAAATAGCTGACATGTATGGTCGTATGGAATTATGCTTGTTGAAAAAAAGATCCATATTGCTCAAACTGAAGTTGATTTCTTAGGAATGCATTTTTTAAAAGGAATGTATCAGCCAGAGCCACACCTGGTAGAAGGACTCATAAATTTTCCAGATGAAAATTCAACTGTTAAGCATATTCAACAGTTCTTAGGAATGTTAATTATGTTAGAGATTTCATTCCCCATGCAGTCAAATATACTAGTCTTCTTTCAAAGCTTTTGAAGAAAATCCCTCCTCTTGGAGTTCAGAACAGACCCAAGCAGTTAAAGAACTAAAGAAGATTGGTCAGAATCCACCAGCCTTGAAGATTCCTAATACTGGTAAAAGAATTATTCAAACAGATGCAAGTGATCATTTTTGGGGAGCTGTCCTCATAAAAGAAGTACTATTGAGGACATGCAAGTGGCCAATTCACAGATGCAGAACAACATTACCATACCACTTACAAAGAAGCATTGACAGTCAAAAATGGAATCAAGAAATTTGATTTCTATCTCCGTGATCATAATTTTGGAGTCCAGATGGATAACTCATCTTTTCCAAAGATTTTGGAATTCAAAAACAAGATGCCACCAGACCCTCAAATCCTTAGACTAAAAGATTGATTTTCAAGGTAAATTTCACTGTAAAGCATATTAAAGGAAATCTCAACACCATCCCTGATTTCCTATCCAAACCTTCCAGACATAGAGTTCCTATTCAGGTCATCTCTGGTATATCCAGTGTTCCTTTTCCTCTGATACTCATGCATGAAGCATTACCCAAAATAGCTAAGCATAAAAGAGACTATCCTCCAGAATTAAGACAACATACCTTAGTTGACCAAATCCAAATGTTTGCTAAATATTATTACTCTTATTACCTCCACAAGACCATGAAAACAAAAAACGTTACACCTTCAGCCTTTCATCCAGAAACCCTTTATTTACAAGTGTTAGAAGTTTTTTGTGATATAGGTTTTGGCATTACTGAAAATACTCTTTAGTGTATATGGTGTCTCACGTTCAATTACTCAGTCCTTTTTGCTCTTAAGGTTCAGAGAACTTATGAAATTCTTATGGATCCTGACAATTCAGATTACTTTTTATGGACCTTGTTAGAATGGTATTCTCCTTTGCCGCGGTGGAGAAAAGAACTGCACAAGATCATTCTATCCAAGGAATAAGAAGGTAAAACAAGAAGAGAGATTTCAAAGATCACTACCATTTTTATCATTCTCAGGCCATATTGGCAAAGGCCAGATGGACTCATATGGTCTCAGAATATTGCTTATCTATGAGGATATTTTAATGATTACACATTAGACCCATATTCTAAAACCTCTCTGTTAAAACATGTCAAAGAGCTCAATGGGTTTGAAGATTCAAAGTATCAAACATTTCACGCAAGTTCCTCACAAGGCCCAAGCTCTTCTGAAGGCCCAGATCCAATGGAAATATAATTGGTTTTTGATCCAATTACAGAAACCAAAAACCCTGAAGACAATATGATCTAGCAAGATCCGAATACTGATGTCATGGTAGAAATAATTGAAGAAAAAGCCAAATTTGACAAGCCATGGTGAAAAGATATGTATGGTGATGTCCACTTAGAAGAAAGACGGGCTCTGAATCTGTCCATTAGTACCGACACTATTGATAATGAGCCAAGTTAAAAGACACGTGTATGGTTGTAATATAAAGTGGGTGCCCAATAATTCATATTTCTGAAAAGTTGTCTGTCGTTTGTATTATTATGTCTGTTGAGGTGTCTGTTGTTTGATTATGATGTTTGTTGTTATTATCGTTTCCTTGCCTATAAAAGGAAACCTTCAATGTTCGTATGAGCAAAATGAGTTTGCAAGAAAATAAATTTGTGTGTTATATCCTTATGAGTTTCTAAAAAGTTCTCTATTCTCTCCGAAAACTTAGTATAATGTTATTACTATAATTGCTACTATATGAAAAAAGTTAGTATGCTCTGCACTTGTCTTGCAAAGGAATCCTGTGTATCAGAAAACGAACTCTGTATTGATCCAGTATTACGTTCCTCTCATCATTAAGGATTCATGGATGATAGTCTCCGATAATAGAGTTAAAAGATTAAAAATAAAAATTATGGGTCCCACCAAACACATGAGTTAGCAAGAAATATTACTTCTTTCTAGCAATATGACGGAAGTAAATCCCATGGAATTATTAAACATTTCAACAAAACAGCCGTTTCAAAGTTTCAAAGTGTCAAAGTAAACCCTTAACCCAAGGACTGCGAGTCGATTTTGCAAAATAATTATGGTTCGTTCAATAGGATTATTAAACAATGTAATAATGACTTGAAACGGACTATTATGCAAACATTCAATAACTTGTTTCATGGATAATTCAACAAGTATGTATATTTAAAGTTACTTTTTACTGTTTTTTGAACGGTCATTACAAAGTTTCTGTAGTCTGTTTTTTCACGCTTTCCTGGCTCGTCAGTTTTTTTTTTTAAAAAACTTATATATATATATATCTATATATATGTGTGTATGTATGTTCGTGAGTGTGTGAGAGAGATTTACAATAATAAAAAATTTTAAACTACAAATAATACAAAAGAAACCATATTTTTCAGAAAACAATTGAAACACAAATCTGTTATGCATCACCAAAAAAAGAAATAAGATGATAGTTAAGTATTATAAAAATATGACAAGATGATAGTAAAAAATAATAATTTGGTCAGATAATCTGTAATGTAACAACTTAAAAAATTGGTAATATACATTCATATATTTTAATAATAAGCAAAATGAAAGAATATGCAGTATTAATATTAGTATATTCTTGTTAATTCTTATATATTAAATTCAATTTTGTTTGAAGGAGATAAGTCTCTTAATATATTTTTAAAATAATACATGTTATTTATTTTTTTTAAATTAAGTTTGATTTTAAATAATTAGGTACTTAATTTTTAATCTATGCTTTTGCATTGTACTTGAATTAATTATGCATATTTTATTTATAATTTTAAATACTATCTAATTTATTTTAAAAATTTGCTCCCATGAAGCAGCAGTGGATGCCCCTCACCCACACCGTGACCGTTTGTGGTCAAGAAAAAATCATACATGCATCAAATAATCAAATTTTAGGGATATGGGAAAAGAAGAGTACAAGAAAAAAGCGAAAGGGTTTTTACCAAAAAAAATAAAATAAAATAAAATAAAATAAAAGAAGACTCAAAGAAGGTCAGGGTACGGTATTAAAAAAGAAAAAAGAAAAAAGGTCAAGGTTAGAATTTGGGAGGCGCAGCGAAGGAAACGTCAGAATTAAGAGTGAGGAAAAATAATAATAATTAAAATTACACACGTATATATTTTGTTTTTGATATTAATATCCTAATTTGATTTGTAATTTGATAATTGCATTTAGAAGAAGAGGCTGTTCTTCATACGTTTCATCCTCAGTATCCTAAACTAACAGAAATTATACCTTCTCTCGCGTTCTCTCTCACACACCCACACCCACACCCACACCACACCACATCGCACTTCTCACAAAAACAAAACCCTATTCTCTATTTTCACACTCTCTGTCTCTTCTTCTTCTTCTTCTTATATCTCAATCAATCCCATTTCGCTCTCTCAAAAATCACACGTTGCTATTCGTACAAAAACTCTTTCTCTTGTTCTTGTTCTTCTTGTTCCCTCTTAAACGCATTCTTCTAATCGGCAATACCACTGCTACGTTAGGCGGTTATTGAAACGGCTGCGTTTCCTTATCTTCATCAATCACTGCCTCTCTCTCTAACTCTAGGGTTAGTTTCTTCCCTTTTTTTTTGTTTCTCTTTCCTCCTCTCGCTTTCTAATTTCCCCAAATTTCCTCCCTCTGTAACCCTAGGTTCCGGAGGAGTTTTTTCCACATGCGTATTTTCTAGGGTTTCTATTGTCTCTACGTAATTTTTCGGTGTCTTACAGGGCTCAATTCTTGGTGCTAAACTGTTTGATGGTTGGCTTAACGATTTATAGAGTTTTACCATTGTTTTCGTAGTCGTGCTTTTTGGTTCGGGGATCGATTTCTTTTCAATATTTTCCCCCTGAAGAGGTGATGCCTCTCTGAGTTTTCGAGGTCTTATGCGAATCCATCTTTCTATTTGAAGATGGAGGCGTAGAGAAGCTTTTCCTTCACAGCATTGTTAAGTCACGGGGCTCTTGTTTCCTTCTCCTTTGTTTTGGCGCGTTGCGGTGTCTGTTTGTGGTTTGTTGGAGGGCCCCTTTCAGTTAAGCATTGTTGGAGCCGTTACGGTCTTGAATCTGTGGTTAATTTTGTAAACCGTTTGGAAGGTTGGAAGTTAATCTGTGATTAATTTTCTTGAATCTGTGATTAAGTTTGGGGGTTGTAGCTTCTGTGAAGATAAGCTGGTGTTACTCATTACTCCACTGCCAGACGGACGATAGTGTTATTCTTGATTAGTTTCGGGTATCTAGAATAAAGAAAGATGAGGGGTATGAGTTAGAATCAGTAGTTTCACGTTTAAGTATATTAGTGCTGTTCTAGGGGTAGGGCTGGTGAAGAAGGTGCACGAGCTTTTTTAGTTGATTCTGATCATGTTCAGTGTTCGTTATGGAAAAAAGTGAACCTGCATTAGTTCCAGAATGGTTGAGAAGTGCTGGAAGTGTTGCCGGGGCTGGCAGTTCAGCCCACCATTTTACATCTTCGTCTACTCACACGGGTATTTTCAATGTCCTGAATTGTTTACATATTTTGATGCGCAGTTTAAATAATTCAAAACATTATAATAGAATCTTATTCCTTTTTTTCTTGCAATCATATATCTAAGAATCACAGTTTTTTTGAAACTTGCAAGTTTATAACAGAGTTTTCTTCATAAAAAGGGGGGAAAGAATCATAAATTAATAACTCTTAATATTTTTGTTTAGATGCTCCTCATGTACACCATCACACAAGGAATAGATCTTCTAAGGCAACTAGTGAATTTGATAGCCCTCGCTCTGTGTTTCTTGAACGGACATTTTCATCAAATTCTCGGAGGGGTTCAATCAATGGTTCTGCCAAGCATGCATATAGTAGTTTCAACAGAAGTCATCGTGATAAGGACCGTGATAGAGACAAAGATAGATCGAATTTCGGAGACCACTGGGATCGTGACTGTTCTGAACCATTGGCCGACCTCTTTTCGGGAAGGATAGAGAGGGATACTTTGCGGCGTTCTCATTCAATGGTTTCCAGGAAACAGAGTGAGCTTTTGCCCCACAGAGTTACAGTAGATACAAAATCTGGTGGCAACAGCAGCCAGAACAATGGCAATGACATACTTTCTGGTGGTAGTATTGGTAGTAGCATTCAGAAAGCTGTTTTTGATAAGGATTTTCCATCACTTGGAGCTGAAGAGAGGCAGGGAATTACTGAAATAAGGAGAGTTTCATCTCCCGGTTTGGGTGCTACTGCTAGTCAAACTCTCCCTGTAGGCAGTTCAGCTTTGATTGGAGGGGAGGGATGGACATCTGCACTAGCAGAGGTACCTACTATAATTGGCAGCACTAGTACTGGATCTCTGACTGTGCAGCAAACTGGTACTCCTACTTCTGGGTCTGTACTTTCAAGTACAACAGCTGGTCTTAATATGGCTGAAGCTTTGGCACAGACTCCATCCCGAGCTCGTTCTACTCCTCTGGTAGTTGAGCTAGTTGTCTATCATTATCTTCTTCATTCTTATACTTCCAATGATTTTATTTATTTTCATGACCAGTTAATAAGGCCTTGATCAATTATAGGTGTCAGTCAAAACCCAAAGGCTTGAGGAATTGGCTATAAAGCAGTCAAGACAGTTGATTCCAGTAACACCATCAATGCCTAAGGCTTTGGTGAGAAAATTGCCTTGTGAAAGATTTGTTTTATCGGTCATATATTGCAAATTTTGGTTTGTTTTAAATTTTATCAGGGCATTTGATTTCTTAATTTGATACTGCACTTGTCTTTTGTCCATTCGCTTTTCTTGTGACGGGGTGTTATTTAGTACTAAACAACTGAGTTGAGGTTGAGAATTCGGAATAAGTACCAGAAATTTCAAAGTTGTTAACAACCTGGAATGCTTTAGCGAGGGTGGGGTTCTAGGGAAGACACTAGACTTTGAAAGAGAAAAATATCAGAATTAGTTGATGTAAAAGTTCTTACTAGTTTCGTTTTGTATTCTGTTTTTATCATTTCATGATCGCCGGACTTCGGTCATGAATTAGTGCCCATTACAAATTAGTGTTCTTGCAATCTTATGTTGCTTTATTGTTGTAAGTCTAATATTATTGCAAACTAATTTTCTATAATAGTTTTTACTTTCTTTTTTCTCCATGAATTGTGTGATATGACTTTTACTTGGGCGCTGTGTTCAGCTTTATTCTATTTATATTTGTTTTAGATAAATAAAAGGAATAAGAAACAGAAGTTTTGTCCTATTATTGTGTTGAACTTAGTTTACAGTTTTGTGGAACTGATTGGATGTAACTATAGAACAAATAAATCATTTTTACGTATCCATCTTCTTGATGAATATTGTTTGTGTTTATTTTTTACAGTGTGTGATGCATGTGGGAAATGCAAATAAATCATTTTTATTTGATTGCTCCTCCTTACACAATGCACAAAATTATGACTACAGAGGGGTATATATGGAATCTACAAGTTGTTTTAGTTATTACCCTCTCTCAGCTGTCCTCCCTCTATAAAGGTCACATGTGTGGCATCTTTGGCATCCATCCTCTGAATTTATTCTTTAATTCCTTTATGAAACTGTAATTTTTCTATCCTAACCCGAATTTGAAGCGATGCGGGTCGCAATTTCGGTTCTTAAATATGAAATAAATTGGTTAATTGGTAGCATTAGAAAAGATGATACATTAGCCAAGTAATTTATTTATTTATTTTGCAGTTTTCATTTTTAGAATTGGTTTTATAGCCTGAATTTGAATCAGGAAGCAGATCCCTTGTATCATCAGTTGGTATCTTGTTCTGCTGAGATTCTTTCATGCATATTGTGGATCAAAGAGTTTATGAATGGGCAGTTAATTTTACAAATGCTGCATGGTTTCGCCTGTTTTACTTTTTATGCGATTTCTTGACATTGGTTTAGGCATGCGCACTGAGGTTGCTGTACTACTGGTGGTACTGTGATGGTTTGTGGGTGTGTGTCTATTCTAATTTTTTTATTTATGTTAAGTACTGTTAATTTGATCTTGTGAAATGTGCTATATATATATATATATATATATATATATATATACAGGTTTGATTATAATATTTCAATTTTGTCAAAATTGACTTTGATGGTATATTGGTCTGTGTCTGCATCCATTATATATGAATCTGTGGAGGATGCTTGATTTGGATTATGTATAATGATACTTTTCCTTTTGTTCTTAAAATGTCAATGATATCAAAATTGAATATTGTTTAGATTAGTAGAACATCAGAAATACTGAATATCATTATATTCTAGCAACATGTATCTGTCTTCTATTTGATAAATTATAGTTTTTTCTTAAATCCTTGGTGATTTTCTGATAGTTTTCTTTTCAGGTCAACAATTCTTCTGAGAAATCAAAGCCCAAGACAACAGTCAGAAATGCTGAGATGAATATGGCTGCCAAGATTGTGCCGCAGCAACCCTCTGCATTGCACATTGCTAGTCATTCCGTTCACAGTGGAAATGCAAAAGGTGATGCTCCAAAGACATCTGGAAAGTTTACTGATCTTAAATCAGTGGTGTGGGAAAATGGTGTTACCCCCGCCTCCAAGGATGCTTCAAGTCCAACACATAATTCTAACAGCAGACCTGGAAATCATCATGCTGTTGCTTTACCAGCTGCTTCTACTACACCTTTGAGGAACCCCAATAACCTCAAATCCTCCACAGAACGGAAGCGGACTTCTTTGGATCTGAAATTAGGTTCCACTGTGGATAAGAAACATTCTATCTCTCAGGTGCAGAGCCGGAATGATTTCTTTAATCTCATCAAGAAAAAAACTCTGACAAACTCCTCAGTTCTTCCAGATTCCAGCCCAGTGGTTTTATCTCCCACAATGGACAAATCTGGTGAAGTAAATAGGGAAGCAGTTGGCACTCCTGCAAGTCCTCAAGATCTTGGAAATGGTGCAGACGTAACTAGCAATGGTAATGCCCATGTGGAGGTTCACAGACTTCCTGATAATGAAGAGAAAGATACAGTTCCTGATGAGGAAGAGGCTGCATTCCTCCGTTCTCTTGGCTGGGAGGAGGATTCTGGTGAGGATGAAGGCCTCACAGAAGAGGAGATCAATGCCTTCTATCAGGAGGTGAGTATCTATCAACCTGATTTAGTTTTGTATTCATTGATTTCTTAATTTCTTAAAGCCTTATGTATTCATGTTGGCCGAATTATTTGCTTATACTTTGTTAATTTTGTTTTGTAGTGCATGAAATTGGGCACCACTACATTAAAGCTATGCCAGGGCATGCAGCCAAAGTTGTCCAAGTTTTTTGAATCTTATGCCACTAACTTGCGTGGAGCTTCTGCTGAATTGAGTTCTTCTGACTCCAGATCTGAAGCTTGATGTTCGTTTTATCATGGATAGATGCCAGTTTCATTTTTTTAATGGCAGATGGCTAGTAACATTCTTCCCTTTTGTTTTTAAAGAAGGCTGATGATTTGGGAGTGAAAGAAGAGGGTGGGTTTTGATTGGAACCCTGGATTTTGCAAATATTGCAATAAGTTACAGGTGCCTCAGTCCTGCCTGCTTAGCGGGGGATTTTTTCTTCCTTTTTTTTGCGTTAAAAGCTATAGGTTGGTTGGGTAGGGGTAGGGTAGGGGCTATTTTGTCTGTAGTGGAAGGTGCTGCGCAATTGCATCTCTTGGGGTATTTTGATCCGTTTTTCTTTCAAGAGGGTTTGATTCTACATGATAAAGTTTATGATATTTTTGGTCAATTTTACGAAAAAGGGAAATTAAAAGTTTACTTCGAATTTTAGAGCATTTTGATATGATTATTCTTTGAAGTATTCCTTTTTTCATGCTGTGACCGGTTCATTTTCTGGTAGTGGTTATCGTAGCACTGTCAAAATTCATGTGAATGAAAATGCGATACACAATGCGGACTCACTAAAATCTGTTCTCCGTTGACTGTTATATAGTCATTTGTCAATTTAAAATGCCCGCATAATACTTGGGAAGAGAAAGAAATGCTAGCTGGCACAATACCAATCCCTTTTGTCCCTTGTGAGTTGTGACTCTAGGATAGCTCTTCCTCACATTGTGCTCATAGCAAAGACATGTACAGCCACGTCAGATTTTTAGGCGAGTTGATTTTGTTCAGCTCCTGAGACAAAGTTTCGTAATTAATGTCTTCGTTTTTTTGTCATTCATTATGATGCAAGATTTCACTGTTTTCAACATAGTAGACCTATGCCTAGCTTTGGGTGTACGTCTATAAAAGATCTTTGTTTAGCATTCGTTAGCGTTTATGTATATATGGGTTGCCTGGATTCATAAGGTTGGGCGTCAATACGTCTTTCCACTATGCCCCCGTAGTTGTAAGAACCGTATCTGAAACAAATGATTATCTTGAGTTAGAGCAAGAATGAAGAAGCAACAAGCAGAAAATAACACTAGAACTTTAGAGGATTGAGAGGAAACAGTGGTTGCATGAGGGAAAAGAGGGGCAAGGCACAATTATATGGGGCGCGAATTTGAAAAGGCCTAAATGTTGGGGCATAAAAGACATTTCGTATGAGGACATTAAAGTAACTTTGCTGGGAATAATTAAGGGATATATATGTCGTCGTCACCAACCAACATGAGGCCCGTAATGTGAAGGCTTTCCTATGATCCCAATGCATGATCAACTAACAAGAAGGTGCCACGTGTAAAGATGTAGTTATCGACTTGAACGTAGAAGAAACCAACAGTCAACTGAGGTGCCAAGCTCCTACGAAGCACTAGCGTTTATCCGGCTCATAAACCGACCTTTAAAAACGAATACTACCTGGACGACCTCTTGAACAAGGCGCAACAACTATCAACTGATCCAAAATTGAGGCATAAGGGATTGAACTCATTCCAAGATGCGGAGCACGTGCACGAAATATGGTCAACTAACCCAGAACCATCATACTCCTAATTTAGAGGAACACAACTCGGCACCTCAGTGCCCTAAAGTCAAAGAGCGAGATTGGAGAGGCATGCCAGCATCCAATACCCTGAGTTTGTGTCTTAACTATGCAAACTGAATTGGAGAGAGCGCCTTGGTGAGTATGTCAGCAATTTGGGCAACAGTAGGGACATGTGATACAACCAGCTCCTTAGCTAAAACTCTTTCTCTTACAAAATGGATATCTAGCTCTAAGTGTTTTGTCCAAGTATGTAAAACCGGATTATGAGATAGGGATGTAGTAGTCAAATTGTACCAAAAAATCTAAGGTATAGATAAAAGGAGTTGCAGTTCACTGAAGAGAGACTTGACCCAAAGGACTTCTGAACAAGCAAGAGCAAGACTCCTATTTTCTGCCTCAACTGTAGATCTGGCAATAAGGGTTTGCCTCTTCAACCACCAAGAAACCAGATTTGGACCCAAGAATAAACAAGCTCCAAAAGTTGTTCTTCTATCATTTGGGTCACTAGCCCAGTCAGCATCACAGGAAACAGTCAAAGAGAATGGAACCCGAGGATTGGCAGCCTGAAGAAGCAATCCAAAAGTGCAAGTCCCTTTGAGATACCTTAAGATACGTTTTACAGTTTGCCAATAATCTTCCAAAGGCTTACTCATGAACTGGCGAACTATGTTTACTGCAAAGCTAATTTCAGGGCGAGTGATGGTAGCATATTAAAGAGCTCTCACTATAGAACGATATAAGTGTGGATCAGGGAAGTGATTAGATCCAATCCTTGTAAGCTTGCAGCTTGCAGGCATGGGAGAAGAAACAATCTTGGCATTATGCATTTCTGCCCTAGTTAGTAAATCACGAATATACTTGGACTGTGTGGGGAAGAGAGTAGTGGGGGACTGTTGTTTAACCTTAATTCTACGGAAGTAATCAAGAGTGCCTAAATCTTCTAGAGCAAAATTAGAATGCAGCTGAGTAATGAGAGATTGAACAAATTGAGTATCATTACCAGTAATGATTATATCATCTATATTAACCAAGAGCAAAACTAGCCTGGATGCAACCTTAAAAACAAACAAAGAAAGATCACAATGACTTGATTGAAACCTAAGAGAAAGCAATGAGAGCTCGAGCTTATCAAACCAGGCTATAGGGGCTTGTTTCAGCCCATATAAGGATTTAGTGAGTCTACAAACTAGTGTTATGTCTTTTACTTCAAATCCAAGGGGATGCTGCGTATACACTTCTTCCTCCAAGTCCCCATTGAGAAAGGCATTACTAATGTCTAGTTGCCTCAAAGACCAGCCAAATGAGAGGACAAGAGTGAGAATAATTCGAACTGTGATTGGTTTCACAATAGGGGAAAAAGTCTCATTATAATCGAAACTCTCCATTTGGTGAAATCCTTTGGCCACTAATCTGGACTTATATTTGATTATGCTTCCATCTAGGTTTTCTTTGACTTTGAAGACCCACTTGTATCCTATAGCAGTCCTGCCAAAAGGTAAAGGAACAAGTTTCCAAGTATTGTTAGATTGCAAAGCATAAAATTCCAATTGCATACCCTTAAACCAGTGTGGACTGGCTAAAGATTGTTTCACTGTGGAAGGCTCAATGTGAGTCAAAAAAGCCAGATTGCATATTGCAGTTTTTGATATTGTGATAATAGAACAATGAGGAGAGGAGGTCCAATGTTAGCAGAGGGAGCATATTCAAATTGGGAAAAGGAAGAGAGTGAAGAAGAGGAAGGAGAAACAGATGAAGAAGAAGCATTAGAATCAAAAGAGATGGAATATGGGGACTGTTGGACAATATTAGAAGTATCAGGGGATGGTTCACCAGTGATTGGAGGAGAGTCACTAATAGGCTGAATAGTTTGAGAATCAATATGAGTGGATAATTGAGTAGGAGAATCAATAGTGGGAGAATCAGGACAATAGTTGATTTGTGGTGGCGAAACAGACTCTAAGGGAGCTGAGGAAGACACTTGAGGAAGAAAATAAGTTGAAATAGGCAACGGAAGAGATTGCGAAGGATTAGGACGTGCAAATTCTGAGCCCAAATGGAATAAGGAAGCTTGTATTCATTGAATTGGACATCTTTAGAGATGTACACCCTCCCTTCAGGATTAAGACAATAGTAACCTCTATGGTTTGGGGAATATCCCAAAAATATGCACTCTTGGGACCTAAAATCAAGTTTATGTCTATTGTATAGTTTGAGAAATGGAAAGCAAGCACATCCAAATATCCTTAATAATTTATAGTCTGGATTTTGATTGAAGAGTTTATGGTACGATACTTCAAAGTTAATAGCTGAAGATAAGAGTCTACTTATAAGGTAAGTGGCATAAATAAAAGCATAGTCCTAGTATTGCATAGGGAGTGAAGCATGTGCTAATAAGGCTAAACCAATTTCCATTATATGTTTGTGTTTCCTTTCAACAACACCATTTTGATGATGTGTGTGAGGACAAGTTATGCGATGTGAAATGCCATGAAGGTTCAGGTATTGAGTGAAGGTTTTGTATTCCCCACCCAAATCTGTTTGTAAGGCTTTAAGAGGTCTTCAAAACTGATTATTGATCATTATATAAAACTGTTTGAACAGTGTAAGTGCCTCGCATTTTTGTTTTAGTGGGTAAATCTAGGTATATTTTGTGTGAGCATCCACAAGTAATATGTAATAGGAGTAACCTAATGTTGATTTTAAAGGTGAAGGTCCCTATAAGTCACTATACACAAGTTCAAAAGGATCTTTATATATTGCTTTAGTGGGTGTGGAGGGAAGTCTGTGTGACTTGGCAACATAACATGAAGAACAAAAATCATCTGCCATTTTATTGACATGAATATTATAAGACTTCAGTACATTTTCGAATGACTCAAAGTGTGGATGTCTTAAGAAAAAATGCCATAAGGAATACATAGATTGTGAAAGTACACAAAGCTGATTATTTTCACTAATTGACTTACAATGACTATTGGACATATGACATTCAGAGATTGTACATACAGGTGTAGAATTATTGCAGACAGAAGACACTTTAAACACATTTAGAGAAGTATAAGTTGCCATTGATGAACCATATCGCAGTAGTTGAATAGCAAGAAAATAGTAAAGTCCATTTGAACTAACAGTCCTTTGTAGGAGAACCTTGTGGGAAGTCTGAGATTTAACAAGACAAGTATGAGGATGAAACTCAAAAAAGATAGCATTATCCTTTGCAAACTTACTAACACCAATGAGGCTTTTTGTGTTTGAAGGAACTAATAGTAAATTATTAAGATGCAATTGAGTACTAGAGTCAAAAGGAGAAGAAAAAGAGGAAGATCCAATGGTTGTTATTGGCAATTCTTGACCATTGCCCATAAAAACTTGGTCATAACCAAGTAGTTGATGATTCTGTATAAGATTTTGAGCTCCACCAGTTACACGACTTGAAGCTTCAGAATCTGGAAGCCTTTCCATCATAGGAACAGAACTTCGAGTAGGAAGAAGTCCTTGTTGAGTTGAAACTAGAGCTTGTGGCTGAGGATTGGAAGTTCTGACATATTGGTATGACCTTTGGCCCTGTGATTGAGGACTAAAGAAATGTGAGAAAGGTGTACTTTGTGGTGGAGGCAAGGTTGGAACAAAGTTTTCATCATAGCGATGTCAACATGAGTTAACATCATGGCCAAATTTGTAGCACAATTGGCAATATACATTGGATATGTTTCCACGACCTCTGCTCTATTGAAACAACCTCCAAATAATCCTCTTCCACGATTTTGACCATTTTTGGACGATAAGTTCCTTTGTTCACCTTTATTTTTCTGATTCTGAACCTGAGAATCATCTTCTTCACTTCCTATTTGCTTTGTTTGTTGTGTTAGATTGACAGTTATTTACTTCATCAATAACTGTTCATGTGCCAATAGTTCAACTCCAAGATCTGCAATAGAATATGACTTTTCTATTCCATGAATTAGCATAACAAATGAGTTCTAATATGCTCAAAGTCCTTCAAGGATCTGTTCAGTGTGTTCTTCAATAGAAATTGGTTTACCAATTGCTTTTAGTGAGTCACAAATAGTCTTGATTCGTGCAAGGTACTCTTTCACTGACTTTGTTCCTTTCTTGATGGTTTTGAATTCAGATCGTAACTGTCTGGCTTTAGATTTCATCATCCCATGGAATAATTTATGTACATTCTCCCAGGCCTTAAAGGCATGTTTCACCGGTAATATATCATTAACAACCGTTTCAGAAATAATTGAAAGAAGCCAGGTAAGAAGCATCTGGTCTTGCGTAAGCCATTGCACATATGAGGAACTCAAAACATCATTCTCGCGATCTTCACAAGACTTATACTTCAGTGGAATCTTAGGATTCACAAGGAATTTATGTAATTGGTGAGGTGTAATGACTGGCTCTATAATCTAGTTCCATAAAAGGTAATTATCCTGTGTAAGCTTGACAGAAACTTGAAGATCGAAGAGAGAAGAAGAAGCTTTAGGCTCCATCAAATGTTCTTGAGAAGTTTGGACTGTGAACAAGTTGATCCTTCTTTTGAACTGTTGTTCGCACTTGAATCTGAGGCGGAAGACATGTGTGTGGATGATATGGCTCAGGCCTTCAATAGGAGGGCTCTGATACCATATTGAGATTATGTGTAGAAGCCATAGAAGCTTGAACAAAGCTCTGTGTGTGAGAGAGAGGGAGAAAAAAAAGGGTAGAAGAATGCACAGAGATAGAGATAGAAGTTTCAGATCTGATTTCATAAATGGTAAAGTCACACTACTGATAGGACACTTGTCCTATTTATAAGAAAGGAAAATAGCTAAGCTGACAATACATGGGCCACGTGGGTCCAGCTATCACCCAACGGACTCTAACAAAATAACTGTAAGTAGTTACACAGCAATAACCAAAGGATAAATCCTATCTACTGTGTACACAAGTATAATAACAAAATATACCACAGTAACTAAGTAAAAGAGACAATGTGAAATCGTAAAGTAAGTAAGTGATACCGCTAATACTTGTATACACTTCTAAAACCTGTCTCTCACTACCACTATACACACCCCCGCTCTTCCAGTTTCAAGTCTATTATTTTGTGCACAATAATTTGTCATCACATGTGGCTATCTCCTCCGTGATTACCATTAGTCACCAAATCAGGATATCAAATACGATCCTGCTTGAATAGAATAAGTTTTATTATACAAAGTATATCATTAATTAGATAGATTTATATATTGTCATAATATCATACCATTTTATTGAGTATATAACATAGGGGAATGTTATATTTACAAATTTTTTATTTACAAACTACACTAAATATGAACAGTCATACTTCAATTAAGAGTGTATAACCGGTCATACTTAATGTAATTTGTAAAAAAAAAAATTATAAACGGATACTTCCCCTGTAATGTGAATATACAGATTTGTTGGATAAGAAATAAAATATTATCGGAAGAAACTTTACTTAAATACTCCTAATCTAAAACTATGCATGCAATTGCTAGTAAAAGAAAGTTATTTAATTGATACTAAATGGTTTATAAAAATGTCAATATTAATACTTTCCGATTATATTTGAATTTCTTCATTAGTAGGTTTTGTAACTGAAAAGCTCCTTGTCATATGATAGTGCGACACATGACTA